AATACTGTACCAAAAAGATCTAGCGAAGAGGGGTCTGTAAATATACAGGTAAATAATTCTAATCTCACCATGGGGAGAACTATTATTTTAAAATAGCTAAAGATATACCAAGTGGTGAAGGGAGATGACATATTACTTCCTGCATCCAGGAAAGAGCAAGATATGACTGAAAGACCTAAAATCTAAAGTAAGTTTTCAATAAATTCTTGGCCAAGAATAGTAAAGAGGCTTCATCTTCTCTTTAGGTACCAGGACTAAGATTGATATAAAATAGAAAATAATTTGATTCAGCTATATATAATGAGAGGTCCACATAAGGAGGCTCTTCCTGGAGGTCAAGTTGGAAAAGAAACTCAGAGAGGCAGAGCTCACAAATTGCTATAATCCAAAACTACATAGAATAAGAAGTGAGAGAGCTTATCAGTGGCTAACAATAGAGAACAATTCTCTCTCTTTCACTTCAGTTACTTTGTTTTACTTCTATTGTTTCTGTGATAAAATTACCCACTTATACCTTCAGGTCACAGAGGAGTTTTATTAAATGCAAAGTGTCTCTATGCCTGTGCTATTAGAAACTTGAATTCAATAGTAAATTGGCAGAATAACTACACTAACTAGCTTTACTCTAACATTTAAGGAATCTGGCATATATGACTTGGAGTGGAGGAATGGGGACAATTGGAACAAGTCTACAAAACTGTAACAGTGTTCTTAGATATCTGTAATAGCAATATGTGGGAAAAAACATTATAATACTCAAAGTTGATTATATGTAAGTGTTACAATTAGTTGGAATTACTTGTATAAGTAATCTCTGATAATTAGCAGAAAAAGAAGGGCATTTTAAGTAAGAGAAAACTCTTACTTAATATTCACAGGCTGTTTCTAATTCCTTCTGAGAACTTGTTCTTTTTCAGTGCTTACTGGAGGTTTCCTTCTACAACACAAAACATAAATGAATTTGTGAATTTAATGTCCTTGTATCCACCAAACTGAATGGTCAACACCATACAATACATACCCTTGTTCTCTAAGTTTCAACCTGACTGCCTTAAGTAAAATACTGAAAAATAACATCTGAGAAACCATTTAAAAATCTAATATAGCTAAACATCTTCATTATCTCTACAAGTCAAAAGTAGGTCTGTAACTAAAAGCCTTGTTTTTAATTCTAAGCAATGAAACTATGCCTTATACCTTCATGTGTCCTCAGTAGTTAATCAATGTCCCAAACATAGTAAGTAGCCACTAAATGTCTGCTGTTGAAGATGACAAAAAGTTCAATGATGTTTTAAAATTATAACAATAATCACTTGATGCCAATTCAACAAATTATTAAGTAAATAAATAAATGCACAATGGTCAAAGAAAACCCCTGCTAGAGCAATAAAACTGAGTTATTTATTACATGAGAGTGCCTCAGAAAAATATTACCAAGAACTGAGCTTTAGTTATATCTCTATTTCTTTCTTCACTAATGCAAGTTTTAAAAGGAAATGGAGAATTCAAAATTAAACATAACTTGAATTTTTAGCTTCAAATTAAGATCCCATGTAAATCTAATAGCAATAACTGAGTTTTATTATAGAAAATTTCCTCATTTTTAAAGGGCTTTTTAAAAAAATGTTCTGAGAGACTGTAGAGAGTAATCTGAAAGACCATTGTCCTGTCCAACTGAAATAATTAGTGTTCTTCATTCCTTAATGCCTAAGGAGGCCTTTAACGTATTTTAAATATGAAACACAGTAAAATTTCTGATCATACAAAAGTCATAGAGAGGAATGATTAAGAAAAGGTCAGGTGCTCAAAACTAATAATAAAGACATTTGATAACTTCACTTATATTTGATGCACAGAGTCTGTGACTCTTTTCCATGCCAGGCAATAAATTCCTTGGGAATACTCACAGCTAATTTAACTATCCTAAGAACATAATTTTATATCATTTTATCTCTTTGCATAAGTGTCTGGGATACTCTGATAATATTTCATATGTCATAAAACTGGATGAGTAAGGTACTTAATATCAGTTATACAATGTCAAAAAACAAAAAGGAAAATTCCCTTAAAACTTTGAACAATTAATGAGCAAAGGAAAGTCATTTAAAGTAATTTTATCATGCCCCCATAAATCTTTAAGAGTCAAAAATCTTCAGATCTATTGTCACTGCCAAATAAGGATTTAAATATGATTGAGCTAAGTACACATGATTTTCAACTACTAATATTTAAAATCAAACATTCTCTGTTAAAATGGCTTAAAGTGAACCAGAATAACTGGTACAATAATTTTGTATAGAAAACTTCGAAAGCAAGTGAAAGAAAAAAGTTTTATTATATTTACTATATTAAAGTGGTACTAGTAAATAAAATGTTATATTTTTCTATGACTCTTAAGCAATAATAAAACTCTTGCCTAAAACATTAAATACAGAAAATAATTTGGTTGTTAATTAATCTGTTAAAAAAGTTAGGAAAAATACATTTAGTACTCCTTGTATAACCACTTGCCCCTTAAAAAATGGTGTATCAAACTCTCTAGCTCTTCCCAGGAGAGGTGCGAAGGGGACTCAATTTGGTTGTCCCTACCCCACCCCCTATTTTATACAGGATTAAGCAGAGCTTAGCCCACACTCAAAAGCAAAATTCTTTAGCAAACCAAAGGCTGAGACCATTCCTTATTCAGAAGTGAAATACCATTGTCAGGGAAATCACTAATACCAACTATCAAGGGAAAAATGTCTCATTCCTCTTGCAGGATCAGCTAAAGTGAAACTACTTCTTCAGTTGCTAGGAAACAACCAACTCATTATATGCCATTATCAGAACCCTAGAAGAAAACTGGCATCTGCTTCACATTTGGGGATCCTGAAGACTGAACCAAAAAGACTGAAACTGCTGCCAAAATCTCTCGTCTCCAGGGTTTACACTGCGACCACAGCAGGCGCTGACATCAGACCGACCTTTGAAGTTTTCCCTTATATAGCTCTTTTTTTAATAACTAAAATTAATTTTTCCAATATCCCTTATTCTCAAAGACTCTAATTTGAGCAAAACTAAATCTACATTAACACAATGGAGGGGGGGACACTCAGGAATTTAACAAACAACAGAAAAATTTTAACTATTCATTGAGTGAAATTTCTAGATGCTTATACCTTAATGTTTAAAGTCAAAATGAAAAATAAAAAATACTTTCAAAAGTCAGAAAAATAAGAAGGAGAATATATTGGCAAGCCCAGTACTAAAAATGGCATTCTACCATTTACCTGCCTAGCTTTCCTAACTGATCATAAAAGTTTAACTTCTGTTTTATGGCCAGGTATGCTTTTTGACCAAACATCACAAAATGCATAGATGAACATATACTTATCATGTAACTTCATCAGATTCTCTCTGTTAACTGATGAGGTTAGAAGGAGATGGGATAAAATTATGCAGATAAATTACTAAACATTGACAAACTAAAACCATAAAATTCCCCTTAGTAAGCCCACGGGGAGTACAACTGAGATGAAAAAATGCACAAAATTATGTATAAATAAACTATTATATATATGTATGTGTGTGTGTGTGTATATTCCCCTTAGTATTGCTTTTGTATCCAGAAAAATAAGTTATCCTTCACAAACTGCAAATGTTGGTAAAAGTTAACAAGTCATATTCCTTACCAAACTACAAAGACTGATTCTAGGATCAGAGATCAAAGAGCACATTGTGAACATACAGTAAAAGAAGGAAAAAAAACATAATTTTTTAAGTTCAGGACATTATTTCATCTACTTGCTTTTGCATTGGAAGTGACTGTAGGTACAGGAATATGAAGGATTAGAACTGTCAACCTATACAAAAGGTGCCAACCCAAAGTAAAACATAAATATGAGGTAACTGTTCTCAGTGACGAAATCCCAAATTACTTATAATGTTTACCTAAATGATGATAGATTTTATTTACTTTTTTAAGGATTTATTTATGCAATCAAGAGATGCGTGCAGGCCAGAGGTGCCAGAAAGGTGGGAATCATTGAGAGGATTCACCAGAGACAGAGTGGGGAGCAGAACACACAGAGCTACTGAAATACACTGCTGAGAGTCACAGGGGTGGGGGGTTTGGTGTGAAAGAGAAGGTCTATTGTACCATGGCCAAGATAGGAAAGGTCTGTTGTGTCAGGTATCAAACTCCTGCTGCAGCGGCTGCAGATTGCTTCACAGTGCTGAAATTTTACCCCTTGTGCCACTAGGGAGGCCCCATAATGATAAATTTTAAACAGGATTAACCAGAGCTTATAAATACATAGCTAAAAAGAAAATGTAAAATTTATTCCTACAAACAACATATAGTTCATCTGTTATTTTAGATTATCCAATCACTGTTCTCTTCCTTTTTTAAGGACAAATTAAAGTTCACTGGATAAAAGATGAGATGCAAATACAAAGCCATATGAACTTAGAATAAAAAAAAATTTTGTTTTGAGGTTTTTTTATATCACAACCACCATGGCAAAAGTAAAACAAATTTTTGTTTTTGATTGAGGTTATTTTAAATCACAACAGCCATGGTTTTTATATATGTGTATATGTATATTTATATATTACATATATGTGTGTGTGTGTAGTTATACATACACACATGTATTTAATTCTGAACAATTTCTACACTGTTCTTATAACTCAATATTGTCCACAATAAGATTAACCATCAATCAAAAGAAGACAGATTACTTACAAAATAGATTTCCTCATCTTCTTGTAACTTAACAGAGCAACAGGAAAATATAAAATAAGATTTCTGGTGTACTCACAAGCAAGGGGAAAAATTAAATCATGTAACAGTAAATTTGGTCCTAGCACCACATACCTCATTATACATTCAGTCCATCAAGTGAATTCTTTTGAAAAACAACTCAAACCCAACACAAATTTCAACAACTCTCCAATCAGCAAGAGCATTAACCTCATTGTGCCAATAATAAAAATGACACTTCATGCAATTTTCTTACCTGCCTCAACAGTTTCTCAATGGCTGACATTACCATAAGGCCTCTCCAAACAACTGGTGCAGTCTCTTCAATCAGAAATCCCATAGACATGCTGCAACAGTAAATGAAAGGTACAACTAATTTACACCAAATATTAGTATTCCCAAAAAGTAACATAAAGTAAAAAAAAAAAGATATGCTCACCAAGCAATGCCATAATTCAAAAGAGGCCTCATTAGGTTATCTGAAATAAGAAAAAAAAATCCTTTGTAGAAGATTAAGTCAAAATATATAAACATTCTGATTTACTTTCATATAGATTTATTTTCTCATCAACGAGTGCCAAGTTAGAAATACAAATACAGTGTTTATAAATAGCTTTAACCTACCTGAATTTTGTTTTGTTTTATCTTGCTTCTATTTTATTCTTTTATCTTTCAATATTATTCTTTTGATTGGAGAGTTATACAATATTTATATAGCCGATCTATTTAGATTTATATTTACCATTCTATTTTATATTTTCTCTTTGCCTCACTTCTTTGTTAGTCTTATTCTTGAGACTCTTCCCCTCTTTATATTTTCACCATTTGTCAAAAAGATAACAAACTGAAACTTGTAGATCCTGTACCTCTAAATCACATACAATTGTGTAAATCAAAGTTACCTCAAAAAAATTTTTAGATTAAAAAAAAATTAATCCAGTCTGTTTATATTCTTATAATGATTGCCCAGTAACTTAAACACATTTAATTTTAATGTGAAGTTTATCTATACCTCCATCTTCTTCCTCTAAATACTTTCTATCTATTCACTCTCTCTCCCAGGACAATTCATATGCTATTGTCCTCAATTGTAATTATATGTTGGCAAGTGTTCAGCCATTAGCTCTTGAAATAATGCTTCTCCCAGATTTTCTCTATTATCTCCTAGAAATCTGATTAAACCTCCTACATTGGACTTTTCATGTATGAACCCTCAAACTTTCATTTTTTTCTCCAGCTTTTCTACAAACTAAATTCTGGTTATTTTTCTCTTCATTTCCATTCTATTTAATTAATTTCCTCTTTAATTATAGTTGTTAATCTTTTGTTTAAGCTGCCTATTTTTTCATTACCAATGCAGCAAGATTTATTTTATTGATCATTTATTAAGGATATCATCCTTCAGGGTGTCCAAAGTTTTAGATGGTGATTCTCCATTGAAACATCCTTCCTTCTTAAATGCCAAATTTTGTCTCCATTCCTTCATGCACAGATCTATGCATACAGGCTGTAGGCCACCAAGGATGAGCAAGTAAGACCAGAGTAGATATCAATCCAGTGCACAACCAAGCCAACTCACACTTTCCAGTTATTTATAAATTCTGTGGAATTCCCTTCCTTTCTTACTACTGTCATAATGTAATGAAAAGTAATTTTTATAACTATTCCATGTATTACTTTGAGGTACACTGCTATAAGAGAAATTATTCTGAACATTCAGTCAGCCACAATGCCAGAAACAGAAGGGGAAAACTACAAATGTTTTTTACGATGATCTTTTACTTCCAATATATTTTCAAATCTTTTATTTTTTAGCAAGTCTTCCCTTTTTTTTTTTTAAGAACTAGGGTGTAGGCCAGAGGTGTGGGTGGGTGAGAGGATTCACCAGAGATAGAGTGGGGAGCAGAACAGATTTACTGAAATACACTGTCAAGGGGAAGCGGTGGAAGAGACAAGAGAGGTCTGCTGTGCCTTATGGAGTCAACTTCCTGGCCAGGGATTGACCTCAAGCCATAGCAGTGATAGCACTAAACTTAACCTCTAGACCACCAAGGAGAACCTTTTTATTATTATGTCTTTTGAATTTTTTAGGTAGAAAAACATACTACATAGAATTAGTAACAACTTTGCCTTTTTCTTTACACTATTAATACTACTACTTTCCTTGCCTTAGTGCATTGGCCAAAACCTGCAAAAGAAATGACAGCCTTATGTTTTTGTTTTTTTTAAGATTTATTTACTTATGCATACAGAACTGGGGTACAGGCCAGAGGTGCGGGGGCAATGAGAGGATTCACCAGAGACAGAGTGAGAAGCAGAACAGGCCGACTAAGAAAGTACACTGCTGAGGGGTGCAGAGGACAGGTCAGGAGAGGTCTGCTGCGCCATGTGGATCACCTCCAGGGTGGGGATCAAACTCATGCTGAAGTAGCTTTAGTTTCTTAGTGCTATGCTTTAACCCACTGAACCACCAGGGAGGGCCCTTATCATGTTTTTAATGTGTCATAGAAAAAAATTCACCAGGATAAATAGAAGACTGTGTATAGTATCTATTTGCTTAATCTTTCATTAGAAATGGATGACCTAAGTTATTTGACTCTGATCAAAATACGGTTAAAAGTTCAAACAGAAACTGAAAAAATGAAATGAGGTGTTAGGGACTGAATGTCTATGTATCCCCTTTCCTCAAAATTCATGTTGAACCCTAACCTCCAATGTGATATTAGGATAAGGAGTTTTTGGAAGGTGACTAGGCCATAAGTATGGCACTCTAATGAATGGGATTTATGTCCTTATAAAAGGTATGACACAAAGAGCTTTCTTGTTCTTTCTGCCCTGAAGGGCAGTAATAAATGGCCATTTGTAACCAAGAAGCAGGTCCTCATTAGACATCAAATCTGTTGGACTCTCCATCTGAACTTCTCAGCCTCCAAACCTGGGAATTAAATGTTTATAGCTTAAGCCACCTAGTCTATTTTGGGCGATGGCATCCTGAACAGACTAAGACATTGGAACAGTAAAAACTCCTTTCACAAAATTGAAACTTTTGTCAAACGGAATAATCTTTATTTTAACATGTTAAATGCAGTGAAAGTGTACCTTAAATATTTCCTGTGGGCCCTCCCTGGTGGCGCAGCGGGTTAAAGCACTGCACTAAGAAACTAAAGCCACTTCCGCATGAGTTCGATCCCCGCCTGCCCCGGAGGCGACCACATGGCCAGGCAGACCTCTCCTGACCCGCCCGCTGCTCCCCTCAGCAGTTTATTTCGTAGATCTGCCTGTTCTGCTCCCGGCTCTGTCTCTGGTGAATCCTTTCACCCTCCGCATCTCTGGCCTGTATCCCAGTTCTGTATGAATAAATAAATAAAATCTTTAAAAAAAAAAAAAAAATTTCCTGCAGTTCAGTGAATGATAAACTGTAAACCAAAAGTAATATCAGCAGATTTCATCACAATGTTAAATATGTTTTTCAAGATTTAACAGGAAAAAAAATGAACACTGAACTAGTAAACTTGTACAACATAACTTAAAGACACTTCTTTTCACTATTGTCTCCTATGCATCAATCAACAAAATTAATACTGCCTGAAAACATTTTAACTAATAAAGTTACCAGAACTAAATATTGAAATAGGCCAAAGCCATATTTTTAAATTAATAGAGACTCTGAACCATAACTCTTATTATAGGTGCAAATTATTTTCTTTGACTTAGAGTTTATTGAAAGAAAATGTGGGCCCTCCCCGGTGGCTCAACAGGTTAAAGCACAGCACTGCGAAGCAATAGCAGCTACTTCCTCACAAGTTTGACCCTGGCCAGGGAGCTGACCCACATGGCACAGCAGACCTATCCTGGCTCGCCTACTGCTCCCCTCAGCAATGTACTTCATCAATCTGCCTGTTTGCTCCCCACTCTGTCTCTGGTGAATCCTCTCACTGCCCCTGCACCTCTGGCCTGTACCCCAGTTCTGTATGTATAAATAAATAAACCTAAAAAGAAAATGTACATACTAATTCTTCTATATAAATCCAATAGAAAAACTAACAAAACTAACTACTGGTTGAAAGTTTACATGAACACTTTGAAAGTTTATATATAGAAACTCATTCTGCTCTGCGAATAATAGCTTTTTGAAGAGAACATCATTAATCAAAATTATCACAACATAGCTCATTGTTTCCTGCGTCCTCATCTCTTCATGATAACACATGAATTGAAGCACAAAAGATTCCTATTGGTCAAACAACATCAATTGCTACAATGCTACTCATAGAATGAATAACCACATCCTCCTCCCTCTATCATTTCTAAAAGATATTACTTTAATTAATTGGCTATATGTCAGTAAGAGGATTTCAAACAGAATTAGGGACTACTTTTACAATAAACTGTATAGCTACACTAGACACTGATCAAATCAAACTGAATAACTAGGTTAAAGGAAAGTAGTAATTAAAAATAAAACACTTTAACACTTTCTGTTAGAGTTAGCATCATCAAAATTTCCAATGACAACTCTGATCTAGAATCAGACTTCTTTCTGTAATGATTCCATCATTCATGAGTCAGCTAGACAGAATAAATCTCACTTGATATTACTAATATCAATGAAAATATGTGTATATTCTCTTCTGTTCCCTGGCTCCAAAAATAAAGGAAAGCTGTTTAAATATAGTTGAAACCTAAGGCTCAGGAATATGTCTTTAAAAAATTATAACTTGTAGCCCTCCCTGGTGGCACAGCGGGTTAAAAGCACAGCATTAAGAAGCTAAAGTCACTTTCGCATGAGTTCGATTCCAGCCTGCCCCAGAGGTTACCACATGGCGCGGCAGACCTCTCCTGACCGCCCGCTGCTCCCCTCAACAGTGTACTTTGTCGATCTGCCTGTTCTGCTCCCCACTCTGTCTCTGGTGAATCCTTCACCCTCCGCATCTCTGGCCTGTACCCCAGTTCTGTATGAATAAATAAATCTTTAAAAAAAATAATAACTTGCAATCATATAACTAAAAGAATTAAATCCATTTTTTAAAATAAGGACAGTGTGCAGCCAAGACTATACCACCATATTTAATGAACTTTAAGAACTATTTAAACACCAATATATCAGCTTTATAAAAACAAGCCTGCTTTATCTGCACATTAATAACAAAGTCAAAAGTAAAAGAACCTTCAGAAAGTAGGAAAAAATATCCAGAGCAACTTTTAAAATTTCACTTTCTTTCTTTTTTTTTTTTTTTTTTTAAAGATGAGGAGGGTGAGAGACTTCACCAGAGACAGAGTGGGGAGCAGAACAGGCCGA